TGGCCATGGCTTCTCTCCTGCCAATGGCACAATAAACCTGAGATCAGGTGTCTGCCTGTGATCCGCAAGGGGAAACTGAGGTGGAATAGGAATCTCACACACCTCCTCCACGGCTCTACCGGAGGGGTACTGAGTCCACAGAGCCAAAGACAAAATTTGGTTTTCAGATCCAAAGGGTTGGTAGCAAGAGAGCCTGGCTGTAACTGAAAGGATCCATCCGAAAGCTAAGACTGCAAAAGGAGAGGCCGGGCTACCACAGAGAAGCCCCCACCAGACCTCTGCACTCACTCTGGGCCTCTGGATGGTGAACTCTCACCCAGTGCCTCCTGGGTCTTGGCTGCCTGGCCCCAGGAGCAGTGTGGCTCTCCAATTTCGTTGCTAACAGGGTGGGACTTCGGAGCACGGGCGACGGCCGTTTCCACGTGGGCCACCTTGGGGTGTGGTCCCTGGACCACAAGGCCACGGGCATCTCCGAGGGTACCCGAAGGCCAGGGCGCTGCGGAACGCAGTAGCTCCTGGCGCCCTGCAGTACCCGTGTCGGGAGAGGCTCTTCTCCCCTAGCTTGGAGTGAGCACCTGGCTTAGGAACAGGCGCAGCACCGGAGGGACCACAGGATTTGTTGGCGGAATTTCAAAGGTTCTGGGGTGGAGAGGAAAAGCGTGGGAAACCGATTCCGTTTATTGCGCTTCTGCGGAGGTGCGCGAGCCCGAGGCTCCTCCGTGCCTGGGACCAACCTGTGTGCTCACCAGACGGGAAGGAGTCATCGGGGACTTCCAGAAGCTTCTAAAGACACCATTGGGGGGGGGGGGTAGGAGCGCAAACTCTCTCCTAGGCCCCAACAGGGAGAGGACGGCGGAGGCAGGCCGGGCTGGGGGGGAGGATTCAGGCCCTCGGTCCCTCTCCCTGAAAACAAAGCTGAACAAAACAACTACTTGTGGGATCCTCGCAGTGTGCAGGGCCAAGTCCGCCCGTGGGTTCTGCACACATCTGTCCCTCAGAGCCTGTCACCAGGGGCAGGAACTCAACGCAAAACGGGGAAGATAAATTCTTTGGGGCCACCGGGGTGGGTGGCGTCAGCACCCCCCATCCCTGGAGGCTGCCTGTGTGCAAGGGACACACGCCACGCTGCCCTGGGTCCCTGGGAAGTGTGCGAACATCTGGGTTTTGTTCGAAATCCCCTACATGGCTCACATTCCTGGGAAATCTTGGGACCCAGAACGGGGTTCAATGACTAGAGGTCCAAGCCCGGCATTGGAAACCGCCAGGGGTGAAACTGGGGCGTGTTTCTGATCCACCGAGTCCTCCAGCCGAGTTCCCGCCGGTCTTGAGGGGGGCGTCGGGGAGAGGGGAGCCTGGAATACTGCCCCCGGAGTGAGGGAATGCCGCGCTGAGGCGTGGTGGGGACGGGGCTCCCTTTGTGTTGTGTTCTTTGTGCCCTACACCGCAACCATTTCCCACCAACCAAACACCCCTGGGCGGAGCGGCTCGGACGGGGCTGGAAGGCACCGAGACACCCTCCGCACACGTGGGAGGGGGGTGTCGCAGCTGACCACGTCCATTTCCTCTCCGTGAAGGGGAACCAAATCAGCCAACTCCCAAGCCCCCCCCCCTCCACGGCCTCCTGTTGTTTAAATCTGGGGTGCGTTTCCACCAAAGGTGGGGTAGGTCACCTTCCTCTCTTCCATCTGTGTTGGGGTGAGGCAGGGGTCTGGTTAGAGGAACCCTTCTGCCGCCGCTGCGGATCTTCCAGGAAAGCCCATGGACAGACTGCAAACGTGCCTCCACTCACATTGCTATCCGGAAACGGGAGGGGGGGGATGAGAAAACACTTGACCAGGATCCCCATAGAGTCCTGACTGTGGCCAAATTCATACAGCACAGAGGAGGGGCGGAGAAGCAGCCCGGACCTGCGAGAGGTCAATACGTCTGGTGCAGCCCCAGTCCTCCGTACCCGTCTGCAGTCCAGCTCCCCGGCATGGGCAATGGGGTCATCTGGAAGGGGAAGGTGGGTCCTCTGGGCAGCCTCCTCTGCAGAGGCCTCCTCAGGGACTAACCCACAGTGAGCGTGATCTCTCCAAGTGTGGGGCTGCTTCGGGGACCCCTGAACAGAGGAGCTTACTCACCCCTTGAGGATCAGCTTCGCGCTCCCCTCAACCCACCCTTGTTCTGGAGGAGCCGATCTGCTCATTCTGGGCTGCAGCCTCACTTCCAACTAGCTAGGAAAGGCTGGGATCTGGGGCCCCCTCCTCTGCTCCGTGCACAGCACAAGTGGGGAGAGAGGTGTCCTCTGAGCCCCCCCCCCCCTTCCCTGCACCCAGCGGCCAGGTTGGTTCTGGAACTTGAATGCAGCCTGCAGTCCTCTAGCTTAGAGTTGCCTTCCCAAAGACCACACCTCACCCTCCTACTGGGAAGACGCTCCGGACGCACAGGAGCACCTCCGGTCCCCAGCGGGTGCTCCAGATTTCCTGTCGGCACCGAAACTCCCCAGGGTTTGGCTCAGTTTGAAAACTTCCCTTCAACATTCTAGTAATGACTTTTTCCTCACAGGGTCCCCTTCTACCTATACTTGTTCCTCTAAGACACCTCCCCCCTCCCTGCAGACTACCTCTCAGGGACACAAGCCTGCCCATTCCCATCTACATCCGATTTTCCCGGCTTTACCCTCTCCTTCTCGGAGGCATATTTCAATGCCTGCCCCGCTCTCTTGCTTCTAAGTCTGGCCACGCGGGGGCAGGGCCTGGCCAGGCCGGGCCCAGCCGGGGTTAGGGCCATGGCCTTGGGGATGGAGCACGGCGGCCCTTCCAGCAGACGGGGCCGTGGCCGATGCTGCCCTGGAGGAGCTCTGGTAGCTCCTTCTGCGGCTAGCCCCATCCTTGGCTAGCTTTGGTTTCCCGGGTCCTCCCCAGGCCGGCTAGGCTGAACTGTGGGTTCCAGGGCTCTGGCCGAGGCAGGAAAGACATGACAGCCTTTCCTCCTTGCCATACCTCCACTGGCAAAGGTGGCCTTGCCCATCGGCTCACTGCCCTGCTTCAAGCTGCCGGGACTTCCGAGAATCCCCTCCTGAGCGGAGGGAGGGAGTGGGAAGAGGGCCTGAGAACGGGGCGCCTTGGACGGAGGCCAGGCCTTTCTGACCTTGGGGCCTCCACCACGGCCTGGGGAAAAGAGGCCAAGCCGGTGGCCCTGTTGGGCTGGGGGAAGGGCAGGGACCCTTCTCCAGGTGAGACTCCTAAACAGGCGCCATTGTATCTTCCCAGGCCTCTTGCCAAATCTCTTAGGAGGCTGTGAGCTAATCAAGGAGCGCCCCGCAGGCTTTAGGTGACCTTGAGCCATCCCTGGCCGGCAGTCCCCGCCAGCGTCAGGACCGCAGTCGGGAAAGGCTAGGCAGGACAGGACCTGTGGTCCTGGGTTCCAGCGACTCCCAGGAGTGAGCTGGCTCCAAGTCCTCCACGCAGGACAGAAACTGCCAGCCTTGTCTGTCAGGGACCTCCATTCCCACCTCCTCCGGTCCCCCCAGACCTCCGGAGTCCTGTAAGCCCGAGGGGACAGAGAATCGGTGTAGAGAGGGCGCCTAATGGGACAGCTGGGACTGGGGAGCTGGGCCCGAGCCCCACACTCACCCAAGGGCAGAGCAGGCAGAGGCTGCAACCGGTGACACTTCCTCTGACCTGGGAGTGGGGTGCAAGACGGGGCACCCCAACCCGTGGGAACCTGGAAGGGGCTGGAATGCCTCGGGAAGCTGGCGGGGAGCGCAGGCTCGGGCGGAAGGCCCGGCGTCCTCCAGCCAGCGCCGGCTCCCGTGGGCCTCCCTGGGGGTGTCCTGCGCCCCGCGCCCGCGCGCCCCTTCCAGCACTCCCCGCCAGGACCCAGGCCTCGGCTTGGGTTCCACGAGTCGGTCTCCGCCAGCCGACACGGGGTTTATTGCACAACAAAGAGGGGGTGGCCGTGGCCCGAGGCCCTATCGGGGGTGGCGGAGAGACCCAGACTCTCCGGCCACCCCAGCCTCGGGGCCTGGTGACGCCGTGGCCGCTCCCGGCCCGGCGGGGCCCCGGCGTCCGCACGGCGCGGGGACGGCGACCCGGCCGGGGCTCCATCTCCGTGGGCCTCCGATTCGTTCTCGGATCCCAGCGGCTCCGGAGCGGGGCCTCAGCCTCGCCCCGCCCGCACCCAGCCCCAGCGCGGCCGGCCCCTCCGCCGCCGGCCTCGGAGTCGGGGGGCTGCGGGGTGCAGAGCCGCCGCGGGCCGGCCCCCATCCGCCCTCGTCCACCTGCGCCGCCCGCCGTCCGGGTCGCGCGCGCCCGCGCCCCGCGCGGGGAGGGTCCGGAGCGCCCGGAGCCCCGCGCGGAGCCCGGCCGGACGCCCGCGCGCCGGGTACTCACCTGGCGCCGTGGCGGTGGCCGAGCCGGGCTCGGAGGCCGGGGGCGCACGGGCCCGCCCCGGGGCGGGGGAGTGCGGGGCGCCCCGGGGTGCGAGCCCCCCGCCGTCGGGACGGCCGCCCCCCCCGCCCCCTCCCGCCGCGGGGCGCGCCGCCCTCCGCCGCTCCGGGCATCCGGGCTCGGCCGGGGACGGCGGGTCCGGGCGCAGCCCCCCGGGGGGCCGCCGCGGGGCGGGACGGCGGGGAGGGGGCGGCGGGCGGCGGCCCCCGGGGCGGGCGGCGCGGCGGCGGGGGCTTCGGAGGAGCCGGGATCTGGCGCGCGGGCCCCGGCACGCGCTTCGCGGCCCCGGGGCGGGGCGTGGGCCGAGGGCAGAGTTGGGGAGAGGAGCGGGCCGGGGGGACCGGGAACGAAAGCGTTTTAATCAGGACTACACGCGACCCAGCGCCGCCCGGCCCGCGCGGACCCGCGTCCGAGCTCGGCGCGCTGGGCTGGCGGGGACCCGGCGGGCCGGGGCGGGGGCCGCGGCGCGGCGCGGGGGCAGGGCGGGGGCACGGCCACCTCGCCGCCGGGGCCACCTGGGTCCTTTTAAAGTGTCCGGGGTGCGGGCCCCGGGCGGGAGCGGCGGGCGCAGAGTGTGTTCTTAAAGGGCCAGCTCCCGTTCCGCGCCGCGCCGGCGGGGGGGGGGGGGTGCGGGGGGAGCGGGGAGGCGAAGGCCGGGAAGGCCGCGGAGAGCCCCCCAATCCCGCGCCGAGGCGGCGGCGGCGGCGGCGGCGCGACGATGAGGATGATGAATACATGGCAAAGTTTTTTTGGCCCCGGCGAGGGGTGTCAGATTGAGTGCTCTGTGCGCATGTGCGAAGGTGTCCAAACTGACAATGCTGGGGAGATGAAGATAGTGTGTAGCTGCTTCTGGGCTCGAGGAGGAGGAGAGAGATTCCGCGAGCCGACACCATGCGATCCAAGGCGAGGGCGAGGAAGCTAGCCAAAAGTAAGTCTCCCGCGCTCGGCCGTGCCGCGCCGCCGGGCCCGGGCCGCCGGGGCCCGGGGTACCCGGGCCAGGGGTGCGCGTCGGGGCGCGGTCGTCGCGCCTGCCGCCTGACCGCCCCCACCCCACTCGCCCGGACTCGGCCGCGGGGCCCCGGGGGGCTGCTCCGCCTCCCGCGCTCCGGGGCGCCCGGGCCCGGCGCGGAGGCTCGGGGCGCCCGGGCCGCGCGCGCCGCTCCCCGAGGGCGCCGGCCCCCTCCCCGCCGAGCCCCCTCCCCCCCCCACCGTGGCAGGCGCCCGGGCCCGGGAACCCGAGGCGCGCGGTGGGGGCCGGGAGGGGGGCGGGGGGCGGGCTGGGGGTGGAGGGGGCGAAAAGCGAAAGTTAGCGAAAAGTTGAGAGGAAGAGAACTTTTCCTCCCGCTCGCGCTCCCGCGCTCCCTCGCTCCCTCTCCCCGAGTGGCTCTCAGTCCTGGTCAAATCATATTCCGGGCTTTTGAAATAGTGGGCGCTAGAGCACCGCCTTTGGCGTCCGCCAGCCGGGCGCAGAGGAGGGAGACCCCGAGCCGGGGAGGGGGCGGAGGAGGGGCGCGGGCCGGCGCCCACCCGGCTCCCTGGGAGCCGGGGCCGGGGCGGCGCGGGCGCGGCGGCCGCAGCCTCTTGGGGAGCAAAATGGAGACTTTCCCAGCGCGTGGACCCGCGGCGGCGAAGTTTATTCCCCAGCGGTGCCCGGCGCGGCGGCGGGCGCTGCTCCGCGACTCTGGCGGCTCGCGCCGGCCGCCCCGGCGCCGCGGCCCCCGGCATGCCGGTCCCGCCGCTCGCGCTCCGACCCGCCGCCGCCGCCGCGGGCCCCGCTCGGAGCGCAGCGCACACGCCCGCCGGGCCCCGGGGACCCGCACTGCCCCGCCGGGACGGCCTGGGGCCCGGGTCTTACTTTCTCTTTCGCTCCGCCTCGGGCGGAGCCCCGGGCTCCGCGCGCAGCCCGCGGCCGACCGGTCCTCACTGCGGGCTCCGCGCCCCGGACGCCGCTGCCGCCCTGCCTCCGAGCCGCTCCCGCGGCCCCCGCGCCCGGGCGCCGGCGCCATCCGCTCCGGGGACGGCGGGCTGGGGGCTTCGGCCCTGGCGGCCGTCGCGGCGGGCAGGTGGGGCCGGGCGGCGCCGCGGCCCGGCGAGCGCGGCTCCTGCAGCCCAGCCGCGGTCCGGCTCCAGCGAAGCGGCGGGAGCCGCGCGGAGCGGAGCGGGTGTTGCCCGCCGCCCCGGCCGGCCCCGGCCGCCCCCTCCCTTTCGCTCGCCCGCTCGCCCGCGGAAGGGGCGTCCGGGCCCACTCGGCCCCGGCTCCCCACTAGGCCTCCGGGCCATTCGGTCCGCGAGCCTGGGCCCGGTTCTGCCCGGCCGGGAGCCGAGCCCTTGAGCGTGAACCCCGCGGGCCTGGTCCCCGCGGCTTTCCAGGGAAGCTTCTCCTTCGTCTCGGACCCGCCGGCCCCGTCCCCGCGCCCCCCGCCCCGGAGGCTGCGCGCCCGGCCTGCAGGGAAAAGCAGCCCCCGCCTCCCGCAGACCCCCCGGCCTCCTCCCGCCGTCGGCCCTAGGCGGGGTGCCCGGTCCCGCGGGGCTCCGGGCCTCCCCGGCCTCCCGCGACCCCGGGCCCCCTTGGTACGAATGGGGGCTAGACGGTTCGCGGCGGGGGCCAGGGCGCCGTGTGCGCCCCGCGAGTCTCTCCGCGGCGCGTGGAACTTGCGTTGCGCGCGGCGCGGAGCGCGTGCGGCCGCCAGCCTGCTTGGGGCGTCGATCTCCTGGTCAGGGTCTCCGGGTGCGAGGGCCCAAGGCCGGGGCGGGACGGCAGCCACTCGGCTGCGCTCCTCCGGCCTTCGCTGTAAGCGAGAGGCCGGCTCCGCGCTCCCCGAGCGGGGCGAGCAGCCGGGCCTTCGGAGGCCCACCCTGGGCGGGACGCCGCCCTCGCCCAGCCAGCCAAGCGCCCCACCTGCGCCCAGGTCTGCCGTGCCGGAGCCCGGTGTCCGCCAGCTGTGGATCTGCGGCCTGGCCTGGAGGCCTGAGGACCGACGGTCCCGACGGCTGCGCGCTGGAGCTCTGAGGGCACGGACGCTCCTCGTCCCCAGTTCCCTTAGCCAGGATCTGCCTACGGAAGCTTGGCCCAAGGGCCTAGAACTCTCCCTTGGGTACGCTCTGGGACCCAGCCCCAAGCTCCATCCACAGCTGAGACCACTGCCCGGGGTGGCCAAGGAAGGTGCTGCCAGCTGTCAGCAGCCAGGGGTCCGCAGAGGAATTTAATTTCACTGGACACTATTTTAAGCAGACGTGAACATCCCTGGGAACCTGACGCCATTACCTGGAGAGCTCGGCGGCCAAAACAACAGACCCTGCCGTGCCCAGACCAGGGTGGACGGCGAGGGAGGGAGCAAGGCCATGGCTCTTCATGGCAGGGCAGTGCACTTGTACTCAGGCCCTGGGTTGTGTCTCCATCTGTGTACTGAGGACAGAAAGGCTACCAAGCCAGTGGATATGATCTCATGACCCAGAGCTGGGGGGGCCCGCCCTTCAGGGTGCATCTGGGGCTGTAATTTCGTTTGTATTTCTCCATGACTCTAAATCCATGACCCAATCTGGGTGGCCTGCTATGTGGTAGCATTTGGGGGGCCGTGATGGGGCAAGAGGTTAAGGGGCTTCTAGGCTAGGGCTGTGCTCTGCTGGGGGGAAATCTGAGCCCAGGGCCAGGGTTTCCTCCTTAGGCTCTGCCTCGGCTGGCCAGTAGGGACCTGGGGCCGAGCTGGCCCTACATTTGAAAACGAAATTCCTAACAATAGTTTGTTGTTTCTGTCACTGCTGTGAGACAGGTGGGCAGTGGGGGGGCTTAGCGCAACACCCTGCTTACAACACAGCCAGGGGGCCTCTGTGGAGGTGTGTGCCCCAGAGACTCCACTGTCAGGGCCCTCACCATAGCTGTCCTCTGAGGCCGCTTCACACCTGATGGGCCGGGACACCACAGGCTGGGCCCGTGACCTCTCCACAACCACTGCCTTACTAGGCGTGGGTCTTTGTGTGTGAGTGTGTTGCACATGCTTGTGGTGATGTGTGCAAAGCAGGTGGGGTGAGTCCGCTGGAGGCCCAGCTTGTAGCCTTCTTCTTGCCGATGAGATAGGCCCGGCTCTTGCTGCCAGGTCACTCCCCGGCCACCTTCCCTGCAGGCTGCCCCCAGTCAGCGCTTCCCTCAGGTCCTTCTGACAGCCTGTCCTCCTTTTCCCTGGATACTAGCTAGGGCAGCGGTAGGTACAGGGAGCTGGTTGTTGAGTTGTTAAGGAATGATTGTCTTGCCCGCTTTGGGCGAAATAGAGAGGGGCGGGTGCGGGGCTGGCTGCCAGTGCCCTGTGGCGTTGTGCTGTGTGCCAGTGGTCCTGTCTCTGCTGTGTGCTGGGGGGGGGGGCTTGCCAAGACAAGTCTGTGGGTGAGGGGCTGTAGATAAGCTCTTGGCCAGCATGAGCAGTGCCCTGGGGTCTCCCACCACCTCCTGGCCTGCGCCGGCCTGCCTCTCTGGTCAGGTAGTCCTTGAGGAGCAGGTGCCCCTTGTTGCCACCCTGCATAGTCCTTCTAGGCAGTGATGGGGGGGGGTAAGGGATTACGATGTCCCTGAATTTTTGTCCAGAACGGAGTGGGGGGTGTGAAGGCAGCTAGAGCTCCTTCTGGGGCCCCTGGGTTAGGCATATCCAGCAAGTGCTACGCCTGCTTCCGTGGGTGCGATTACCTCCCGCTTTATTCAATTAGGAGGCAATTAGGAGTCCTTTGGGGCTGGGGCTGGTAATTAAAGTGATATATAATTAGAGTTTTAAGAAAAATTATTTAGGATTAAAAATCTTTCGAATAATTTCGTTTAAAAATTGGAAGTGTTAAATAAATGTATTAGGTTTTGAATCAAACCCGAGTCTTGGAAGTTGTAGTTCAAGGAGTGGCCTCTGTGCCTTCTCCGGAGCCGAAAGAAACTTCCAGAGGTGGAGGGAGGCTGCCGGAGCCTGGCTGAAGTGCAGCAGACCCGGAGGCTGGATGGGGGGGTGCTGCTGAGCACTCAGGGCCCGGGAACTCCGGGCTGTGCTGGTGGCAGTGGTGGTGGCGGCGGCAGTCGCCTGCAGCACCCAGTCACAGCCAGCCACCACGTGCTCTGCTGTGGTGCCGGCTGCATCTCTACCTTGCAGCTGGAGCGGTGGGCACGCTGCGGGCCCCGCGTCCAGCAGTGCCTTTCTCTTTGTGGCTGGGTCAGGCCCAAGGGTCCTTGCTTCTGGGGCTGAACTTCTAAACCCTCAACCCCACCCCACACACCTTGGGCTCCAGCCCCTCTCCTGAGCTCCCTCCACTGTCCTTGGCTGCTCAGTGCCTGGAGTTCCCAGGAGCGCACCCAGCATGGGGTCTGAGTCTGCAGTGGGGGTTGGGGAGAGCGTTGTGTGTGGGGATGGGGGCAGAGAATAGTCTAGGTTCCATCTCCTCTTTCTTGGACACCAACCTGGCAGGCAGTGGACAGACCCTTGTATGTGGGCTGCCCCTGTGCAGGACAGCCTGTGGGCAGCCAGTCTGGGTTCCCAGAGAGAGTGGCCGGTCCCCCCTATAGACTTGATAGCTTTGCCCCTCCTGGGAGGGTGGTGAGGCATGGAGTAGGGCTGCTTTCCTAAGGGGAACAAACTCCTGGCACGGAGAAAGTGCCTCCCTAGGTTTACGGGGTAGGGGTGGGGGTGGGGTTCGGGGTTTGAGGGAATGTGGTGAGTCTGATAAAGACCTTGAGGTTCCCCCTCCCCCCACCGAGCTGCCCTCCCTGCCGGGTGCATCACACTCAGTTCTTTTTTATTTTTGAATGTGTCCAAGCTAAAGTCGTTTTCACAAGGCCAATGCTGAACTTTTTGGATCAGGTTTGTCCTTAAAAGACAAGCAGACATCCATGTGCTTAGCGCCGGTGAATGCAGCCCCGAATGGGTGCCTGGGTCACATGCACAATGCATTCCTCATCTGCTC